CAGATTGGGCTGAAAGTGGCCAGTCAGGACAACTATGCCTCAGCAACATCTGCTGTCAATCATTTTCTTTCATGAGAGCCAAAGGCAGACATTTGAAAAAAGAATGCGTTTGTAAACGTGTACCTTTCTTTCCTCAATAGAGGCCATAAAACCTACCTGCAAATTTGCAGGGAGTTTCCCAAGAGTGTTTTATTGAGCAGCTTCTAATAGTAATTTATTTTTAGTAGGAAAGTGAGGAAAAACATTCTTTGTGGTGCTAAATTAATTCAGTTTTGATCTAAGAAAATTATGGAGAACATTAGACACGTTTCTGTGCAGTCAAAGTCATCAGAAACCAGCCAGCACAGTCAAATCAACCTACAAACAACATTTTTCTCACTAGCTTTATTTAATCTCCTTCCTTGCTCTTTTTATTATGTGTTTTCTAAACAGAACTGTTTTTTGACTTTTTTTAATGCATCTCGTAGTTTAAAAAGTAGATAACTGTTACTTTGAATCTTTTATCCTTTCCATTTCTTGTTTTTTGTTGATACATATGAAGAGCAGGTTGACTTGTGTTACTGAATGCACCAGAAATATTCTGTTTAGAACATAAACCATTTAAAAAATACCTATAGGTGCCTATTCTGTGCTTAGCAGGCATGTATCATATGTTTAGAATGCAGAACTAACCATACCTAAATTATCATTTCCTCATAAACTAGTCAGCAGCAAGTATTCTGCATCTGAAACACTGTTTGAGTTGTGCTACCATGTCTAGTTCTAAAGTTGTCAGTTCCTGATTAGAATTAGAACAGTTAATAATATATTACGAAGACATGGTCCCTGTCCTGAAGAGCTTAAAATCTCCATGGAGAAACACCAACAAAGGGAGTAAAAGCAGACAAATAGGTCTGAGGCCAAGGGGGAGCAGAACTTACGAGAGACCAAGAGAGACCAAACTTATGTATTTGCAGTATTGGGTTATTTCATTTAGAGTGTTTAAAGCTTTTGTGGAGACACCAGTTAAGCCATCTTAGCAGGCATTCAACTATTTTTGTATATATGAAGATGTACTGTCCTTTCCCTTTGGACTCAGAATAGTTTTCTGAAAATTTACAAGAAAAATAAGCATGTTCACCGATAATGGATCCTATATGAAGCCTTTTTGGCTCAAATTATTCCAGCTCAACATGGTCTGTCTATACTAGGGGTGTCAAATTCATCCCAACCCACAGACCAGATGAGTGGTGCAGGGTCAGTCTGCAAGTTGTATTGGGTCCATGGGTCCCACCCCTTCCTCTCCCTCCTCCTACTCTCCCAGCTTAACTGATTCAGTGCCCACTCCATCCAGTCTGGGACCCACACTGTATGCATGTGGTGGGCGACCCAGTGAGACTGCACCATGTGTGGCACGTGCCCAGCGGCTCTGGGACTGAGCTGCACACAGCACTTGCTCCAGGCAGTCTGGGATCTGTGCTGCATGTGGCACCCAGAGCCGCTGGAGCAGGTGCTCTTTGCAGTGCGCATCTCAGGCAGGCTCTGCGTACTGTACAGTCTAGCCAGAACAGCCACCACATGCAATGTGGCTGCCACTCTGGCTGGACTCTGCTGCATGTGTTGCCCATTCCAGCCACTTTAGGATCTACACTGCATGCAGTGCTGGTCCCAGAGCAGCTGTGGAATCAGGTATGCTGGGGAAGGGTAGGGGTCTGTGGGCCTAATTTGTCCTGTGAAACTGCTGTGGGAACACTCCACAGCCCACATGAGTCAGATCAGATTCAGAGGGCAGTACCAGGGGCTGGATGGCATGGCACTGCAGACTATATATTTACCAACCCTGGCCTACATAAAGAGCAGCAAAGGTATGAATCTTGAGGAATCTTTTGCAGTGGATAGTTTCTGAAACTAGATTTAATGATGACTGGTTCTGAAATTCTGCTTCTTAGGCACAGACTAAGTACATGGACAGATTTCACTGAAAGCACATTCAAAAGGGGATGGGGAGCTGCTGCACCAAACTTGACAGTGGCTGTTGCACTATAATGAGCCTGCAACCATGACAGTTGTAGCAAAATCATACCAGCTTTACCCCTGCTTCATCCAGAGTTAAAGTTGGGGCAGTTAAGCTCGCTTTTACAGATACAGGCCCAAGCACATGTAGCAGTAAGAGCACAGCAGCTGCTCCATGCTCCTGTGTAGCAGCTCATGTTCCTTTTTCCTAGCTGCTCCAAATGTCCACACCCTAAATAATATCCTCCTCCAGAGAAAACCTCAAAGATTGGTTTCAAGTTCCTGTTGTTCTCAACAGGAACAAAGCCAAAAACTGCTTTCAACTAGTGTGGTCTCTATCCCTGTATTCTCCTGCCTCTCCCTGCCTCTTGACAGCAGAGTTGGCCACTATCTTCCCTAGAACAGCTGGGGTTCATTTGGGAACATCTGAATTCAGTAGCCACTTTGAGAAAGTCACTGGAGTTGAAGGATGCTTGTGGCCTGGGTTTCATAAAGCATGCTGTATGATTGAAGCCATTTTGAGAAGACAAAACTTGGTGAGTTTCTTTGAAGACTGGATGCACCAGTCTCTGCTGAAGGACAGACTTTCAGGGTAGGGACAGACATTCAAAAAGCCTGAGCCCAAATTGCTTCAATCTTTGCAGGTTAATTTAACCTGGCTAGGCAGAACCGGTTTGTAACTGCACAGACATCCCCTCTGGACTGAGGAAATTCAGGCACGTGCCTGCAGTGGCTCAGGCTAGAAGCCGGGAGGCACTAGAGCAGCCCTCCCTTTCCTTCTTTACTGCTGAGCTAGGGGCAGGGCATGGCCAGGCCCCAGCAGGAGGCTCTGATTAGGGGGGTCCCCCCCCCTCCCCCCCCCCCCCCGGCTCCTTGATAACAGAGCATTTATCAGCTCTGTTATCAGCATTTAACACCCTATCAGAAAAAAAAGCCTCTCTCATTAGTTTAAGCTCTTCTTAAACAACTTTTTCCAAGGAAGGGCAGACAAGGTTCTTTGGGTAAATCTGATATCTTTTATTAGACCAATTTAAGGAAGTCTAAGGAAGGGAACATTCCAAAGACGGACATTACCAGCTACCTGTTGATTAGCTCCAACAAGCCCTAAGTGGACACTGTCCTGTCTGCCTTACACAGACACCTCTCAGCATTAGCTAGCATAGCACATGCTGACTATGATCTGTGCTGTGGGAGGGAAGAGGGGTGGTCCCTGCTTGAGCAAGGGAGGGGGCAGGGGAAGCCAGGCAGCTGCTGTTCCTGCAAGTCTCTGCCGGAGCTCCTGCAAGGGAGCAGAGGGAAGGGGCCAGCCCAGTTCTCTGGAATAGAGAGCCCTGCCCAGCCCAGACAACACTGGGATGTTGGGGGACTCTGATTTAACTTAAACCAGGAAGGAGTCTGGGACAGACATTGCATAAACGGGGTTTAGCCAGATCAGTCAAGTCTGATACTACATTCAAACAGGTTTATCTCAAACTGGTTTCAACCATTTTCAAACCGGTTGATGTGTGCTGAACATCTGTTCTGTTACGGGTTTAAACCAGTTTCTGATGACTTAAGCCAGTTTATGTGTAATGTCTGACCCTAACCTCCATGTCAAATAATAATGGCAAAGCACAACTATCAGTCTTGAACATGTCTGTTGAAAAATATACCTGTTACATTAAATGTATTTTACAGGGAGAGTAGGGCAGTGAAAATGGTAAGTAACATTTGTGGGTCCATAAACATGTTAATACAGACGTGCTTTAAGGAGGGGAAAATTTGAGGACTGTTTAAGGAGGAATAGTGAAAGAGAAAACTGAAATCCATGCTCCATATGTGCTATGCTGCTCTGTAAAACAGCTCCCATATTACTGGCCATCAAAAAAGAGCCTTCTTTCTCTTTCTTCTCCCTTCTCTTTCTCCCTTCACCCTTCTCTCCCTGTCTTCCCTACCTCTGCCAAAGAGATTCCTCACGAAGAGACAAAGTACTAGAAAAGGGAGGTAGAAGACTAACAATTTTTACTTGTATGTTTTAAAAAGTAATTTTGTTCAACAGGTAAATTGAACAAAAGTTTAGGATGGGTTCACCTGTCCTTCACTTCTGACTGGCTGGTTAGGAAGATAACTTTTCTTCTTCTAATGTAGGGCTATGTAGGCTAAAATTTTAAAACTTTTGCATGCAGTTAGAATATATGCACCCATTTTTATCAATTTGTTGTGAGGAAATTTGAGTGAATCTAAAATAGAACATCAGGGAATGGTAATTCTGCTCAAACTAAAATCAAGAATGATATATTAGTAATTGACTATGGCTCTTGTATTATGATTAATTAGAATAACTTAATGTTATAAATCTACCATAATGTAAATATTTAATAAGTACTGAGGGTAGAACTGTTCTATGTCATTTCTCAGGTGACCCATGTACCACTCAGAGGATGAAAATATTATAAAACAAGATATACCTCCAGTATCATTAAATTATAACTATACAGTAGTTAAAAAACATACAGATATTAACATGTAAATTTTGCTGTTCTTAAAATATATCACAAGTATAATTAGACATGTTTTCAATATGCTGTAAATATTAAGATCTTGCATGCAAAAAATACTCATGCAAATGTAGTGTTTTTATAGGTTTCCAGTATGCAGAAAGTTTTTTTTTTTAATTGCACACTATATATAGCAATCACTAGTATTTACTTACTGGTGTATTTAGCAAGAAATTGAAAGTTGTTAAGAATGAATAGTTAAAAGAAACAAAACAAAATCATGTGTGTATATTATAGAAATCTTCATGAAACTAGCAATTCCTTAAAAAAAATCAATTCTTCATTAAATACATTCATTAAATGTCTTTGAGTCAGGCAGCCCTTGGTTTTGCATTGGTGCATGTTTGTTTGCAAATAACTAGGTGCACAAAGAATGCTTGCTTCATGAGTTCCCTAGATTCGGTAAACTGGGAGAGAAATAAAAATATACTGAGACACACCACATATAATTGACTTCCCTCTTTCTTCCAGTGTTGCTGTAACAAGATCCAGAGATGTACCATCCTTTGGACCACCAATTCCAAAAGGTGTCACTTTTCCTAAATCGAATGTGTTCAGGGACTTTTTATTGGCCAAGGTCATTAATGCAGAGAATGCTGCTCATAAATCAGAGAAGTTCCGTGCCATGGCCACCAGGACCCGTCAAGAGTACTTGAAAGACCTGGCAGAGAAGAATGTCACCAACACACCTATTGACCCTTCTGGCAAATTCCCCTTCATCTCACTTGCCTCAAAAAAGAAGGAAAAGTCCAAGCCTTATCAAGGAGCAGAGCTCTCTAGTTCTGGTGCCATTGTATGGAGTGTCCATGCAAAGGATTATAGCAAGGGCACAGAAATAGACTGCCTCCTGGGCATCTCTAATGAGTTTGTAGTTCTTATTGAGCAGGATACAAAGAGCGTGGTGTTCAATTGTTCCTGCCGAGATGTGATAGGGTGGACTTCAACGGACACTAATGTCAAAATCTTCTATGAACGGGGTGAATGTGTTTCCTTGGAGAGCTTCATAAACAACATTGATGATATCAAAGAGATCATCAAAAGGCTTGAGGTTAGAATATGTTTTTCTTCTACATGTGGAGTTTGATGATAGATAAATTTACCATGCCTGTGATAACTGTGTTTAAATCCATTAAGCTAGTTCCTATTCTCCCTGTCCTCAAAACCCACTTCTATTTAAATACCTACCAGGAAATGGGTGCCTTCTTACCTGGTTATATGTCTATGAAGAGTAACCATGATACAATTTTAAAAAGGAAGAGAAAAGAAATGAGTACTTTGGGGAAGTTAATAAGTTGTGCAGTAAATTCCCAAATAGTCACATTCTTAGTTGTACTAGCCTTGTTTTTCTTCATCATATTCTCTTGTTATGTCTTGTGTCAAGTGAGATAAGTTTGTTGGTGTCAGGGCTGCCCAATCTGTGCTTGTATATTGTCTAACACAGTGAGGTCTAAATTTAGTTTGAGGCCTGAAATGTTATCTTAACACAAATAAGAGGAAGTGTGCAATTCATTTCATTGTTACTGCCTGTCTAAAATCTTTGTCCAACCAAATAATTAAACAAGGCAGCATGTATTAATTCTGCTTTTTCAACTGCATTTTAAAAGGGAAATAATAGAATTAGCAAGGAGAGAAGCATGTTCTGTTAAATTAAGCAAGAATGAAAACAGATTTTACATAATTGTGTCATGTTAAAAAAGGGACATAACGTTCTAGTTTCACCAGATTTAATGGTAGTTTAGTGAAATATCCATAGACCTAATAAAACTGCTCCTTGCCAAAATAGAATGAAAGATTAAGTAAAAGAGCACTATATATGTATAGATTTGCACATCTATCTGTTTGCTATCACATGCCTTGAACGTTCCTATGAAGTCAGTAGTGTCAGAGTGATGCTGTAGCTGTGATGGTCCAGAAATTATGCAAGAGGCAGGGATTTCTTAGGGTAGTTTCTTGTATTGGATCAACTGTGTAGTTGGGATGACATTCTTCATCGGAGACCTAATGAAGAATGTCTTGCATTAGAAAGCTTACCTAACTGTATCCAGACTACATATTTGGCCAATAAAAAATATCACCGTAAGAAATCCTTGTTCCTCTATGAAAATAGTGAAACTTTTAATTGGAAGTGTAATATAGTGGTTTAGTCTACCTAAAATACACAGTTTTAGTTTCAGGATTAATTTCAGGTGATAATTGTATGAATAGTATGTCTACCTGCCCTGTGATTGAGCATTTCTGTGCCATTTTCCCATTTCTCCTTCTTTACTTCAGTTTTCAGACATAGACACATTCCTTTATGCCCCTCTTTTACTGAATGTAATTTGTTGCACTAAACCTTTTTTTTTTCTTATTTCAATGCTCAGATTGTGACAAAAGGCTGTGAAACAGTAGAGATGACCCTGCGCAGGAATGGACTGGGCCAGCTTGGTTTCCATGTAAACTATGAAGGCATTGTGGCAGATGTTGAGCCCTATGGCTATGCTTGGCAGGCAGGACTACGACAGGGAAGCCGACTAGTAGAGATTTGCAAAGTGGCAGTAGCCACACTAAGCCATGAGCAAATGATTGATCTGCTGAGAACATCAGTCACTGTGAAGGTTGTCATCGTTCCTCCATATGAGGACTGCACCCCACGCAGGTATTGAAAGAGCAGTGAATGAGCACTGTTGACTTCGCCACCTTTGGTCAGGAAGTTTAGTGTCTTTAAAAAATGCATCACTTTCTCTCCCTTGATACTGGAATGAATTTGGCTTGTTTAAAAATCATAAAATAATTATGGTACACCATCCGGTAGTGTCAGGGACAGAATAGGGCAAACTGCCAGTATTTACATAAATTATCCACTGTAAGTACAATAGCTTAGTAAAATTCATGAGACACATGAATCTCTTAAAGTATCTTATCTCCCTGTGGAGATCTAACTATTTTTGGCTCAGAAGCACAATGTATTGTTGATGTGTCAGAAATACCTTTTATCCATTTTCCTCCCTGTTCTCCTGTATACAGAGGGCTTCTGATTTCTGTGGAGCCATCTCTCAAATGCCATCAAAAGACAAATATTCTACCCTTTTCCCCCAACCAAATGAGATTGGACTCTGTCAGTGTTATGTGTGCTTTGTGTGTATCGGTCAGAGAAATTGCTGCAGATTCTTTGGGTATGTTGACACAATGTCTATTGTGGGGCCTGTTAGAAACGTGTCTTGGCACATTTCATCCACCCACTCATCTGGAAATGTGCCATTGAAGCTATTCCACGATCATCCTGTGCCCGCCAGAGGCAAGTCTGCAACTGCAAAGTGGGCACCCTTGAACAACCTCACCAATCATGTCTACATTGGGTGCTTTGGGGACGTGGGGGGAGCATGGTCATGAGGTGTCCCTGCCAGACTGCATGGAGAACATGGTGTAGGCATACCCCTTCTGCCAAATGGTGGAGTTAGCTGCCTTCACATCATTTTCAGTCTTTTCTAACCCCTAGGCTAGCTGTCAACTTATTTATTGCTTTTATGGCTTTTTGAATGTAGCTTTTTCTAGAATGGATAGCCTTTATCTTTTGCTTTTCTTGCTAAAATGAATATTCTCAATTCCACCATATTCCCTCAGAGTTTTTATTTTCCAAAGCTTTTTATCATCTTATTTGTCTCCTCTGAAATTTCTCCATTATGTCTTTTAGTCTTTTACTCTCATCGCTGAATCAAATTTCCTGTCACCAAAACACCACCTACTAATTCCTCACAAATAGTGTTTAAACAGGAAGAAAGAATATGGTATAGACTAGGCTTGCTCAGGTTTAGCTCAAGATTTATGCTAAAATTGCCAGGAAGAAAAGAAAACAAAATACAGGAATCAAATATGTATGCAATCCTTGCAAAGCAAGACTATGAGATGAGGAGTTGTGCTCGCAAGTTAATCTTGAAGAATAAGGTGAAAGACAAGTTATTTCAATTCTTGTTCTTACATTTGAGAACTTGGCAGCTGAGTTCAAACAATGCACTTACTGTTTTGAGATGTGATCATTTGTCTCTAAGCAAAAGAGACCACCTTCCTGACAAGTAAGATAGAAGTCTGCAGTATAAAAATCCCTTGTTTGTTTTTGATCTTTTAGATCTGCCAGAAGTACAAAGCCAGGTTAACCCATTTTATAACTGGCAATGAAATGAAGGGGAAAAGAGGCCAGGGCTTAAGTTGTCCCTAAATTGTCAAAGCAAAATAGAATGCATGTTAGGGATTTAAATGAGCAATGGCACAAGGTCATTTCTGTGAGATATTTGAAAAGCTTTTTTACTGTATTTGGAAGGATGAGCAAATGGAAAGTTCAGCTACAGTCATAGCAAAAAGATTAGTACATAAAAATTCTGTACAGAAGGCACAGATCCCATTATTTCCAGAACCATGGCTGAACTAAATTAAACACAGCAAAAGCTGGATTAACATTAGTCTATCCACACTCACAGCAGGAAGGGAGATCGCAGCATTTTTTCAAAATCCTCAGCATGGCCTTTAGTGAGCGAATGATCATAGTATTTTTACCCAGTTTCAAAGCCCTTAAGACAGTTCCTTTGCTTGTTTACTGCCTTCCAGAAATCATCATGGTTTATAAATTGTGCCTTACCATTGTCATTTGCTAAATATTGAATGATAAAGGTACCATTAAAGACTTGGGTTATATCTTTACACAAAGCAATATATTTTTAGCAAGTTTTTTTCCAGAGCTAAAATACATTCTTTGTAGCATCCAGAGAATGATAACGTGTTAGAGTAATATCCAGGAACCCTAATTTAGATGAAAGGTGCATTCTGCTAGGTGCTATACATAGAAAAAGAAAGCCTGTATCCCAAAGAGTCTCTGATTGGAATACGGACTAGACAAAGAGTGGGAGGAGAAGCCGAGGCACAGTGGTGAAGTGAATTGCTCAAAGTCATGTAGCCAGTCAGTAGCAGAATCAGTATAGAGAACCAGGTATCCTGACTCCCAGTCTAGTGTCCTTTCGACAAAACCATTCTGCCATGTTTGGCCTCTGACACATGTTACACTTAAGACGTGATTAACTGATTAATCGCATCTTAAGTAGTGACCTGGCCACATGTTTATTCAATTAATGGCATGATAAAAAAGTGACAAAGTTATTATACAAAATATGTGTAATAAGTTTGTTGCTGGTTCTTATGACGCCTTTAAGTATACGTTTGGCCAGTGCTCCCAGCCTCTGTGTGCTCCAAAGGCTGGGAACAGTTGTCAGCACATGGAACTCCCCAGCTGGGAGCCCCAATTAGTGCTCCCGGCCTTGGAAGGGCACCCCCTTGCAGCTAGGAGATTTGATCACTGCTGGGGCTCCTAGTCATGGTAGCACAGGGTGCACCCCTAAGGCTTATAATCCAGGCAGTGTTTACAGCTCCCAGCTGCAAGGGGGCACTCTGCATCCCTGTGGCTGGAAGCCCCAGTACCTGCATGGTGCACTTATCCATGGGGGCACACCATACACCCTGGTGGTAGGAAACCCCATCAGTGTTAGGAGTTCCTAGCCGGGAGGCCTGGGAGAGAGGCAACCTGCATCCCTGCGGCTGGAAGCCCCATCAGCTGACAAGGCTCCCAACCACAGGAGTAAAGTTTGCTAGTGCAGGGGGAGCCCAAGATCATGATCCCAGGCTTCCTTTGCATCAGCACCATGGCGTGATGTGATCTGATTCTTGATCCTACAATCATGATGTCACCTGCCATTGTTGGGATTGCACATCAGATCCCATCACACCTTCTTCTCAACATCTATCAGTGGCCGTTGAAAAATAGGCACCAGTAAAGTAGAACCCCTAAGTTCACTTAATGGGGTGATTTATGTCCTTGAAATGGAGGGACAGAGATGGGGAAGAACTACATAACCTCATTAGAGCCACAAATAGAACAGAGTCCAGTTGAAAAAAAAGTAATGAGTTAGTAGGAAAATAGTAAGGGAGGAATAAAGTGTAGAGAAGAAAAAGAAAAGGGAAGGCAACATTCATCTGTTTTTTGTTTAAAAAAAACTAGAGAGGGATGCCAATGGCTTATTTCACTCGTATAATCAATGAAGTCAGTGGAATCAGTGATTGTTGAAGTAAGTGTGAAGATATTGATGTTGTCCATTGGGAAGCAAATATATATACAGTAAAAGCTGTGTTAACCAGCATTCTACTATCCAGAATACTATATTAACCAGAATTGCTGGCTGGCCGGATGTGGGGGAAAGGGGGAGAAGCTCGCACACGGCCCCTGCGCATCACCCTGTGCTGTCGCCTCTCAGTGTGCAGCTGCCACCATCCCTCCTCGCCGCCGGCTCCCGCTCCACACAGGTTTTCAAAAAGGTTGTAAACCCCTGCCTCGGATAACTGGAATTTTTAGATGCCCCACATATGCTGGTTAACACAGCTTTTACTGTAAAATATCTATCTATCTATCTATCTATCTATCTATCTATCTATGTATCTTTAGTTTGTGCAGAAGAAACATCAAAATATCCCTGTCAGTGTTCTTTTTACATGTGCAAGACTAGTATTGGAAGCCCAACAAGAAACTGTCCTGGCACAATGGAAACAAAAGAAGAATGGCAAGAGACCAATGTGGCTGCACAAGGAGCTTCTAAAATGCTTCAAATACAAAAGGAAAGCATACAGGGAATGGAAGAATGGGCAGGTTACCAAGGATGCATACCAGGAAATAGCAAGAACCTGCAGGGATAAAGTCAGGAAGGCATAGATAAAGATTGAGCTGCACCTGGCAACGGAAGTTAAGGACAACACGAAGAGGTTCTATAAATATGTTTGCCAGAAAAGAAGGACCAAGGAAGTTTTGGTCCTCTGTTAACAAGCCACAGGGAACTCCTAACTGAAGATACAAAGAAGGTAGAGCTACAGCTACTTTGCCTCGGTCTTCTCCAAAAAATTCTGCTGCAGCTAGATACCTAATAGGGATTATCTGGATAAGGAGGGGGGCAAGCTGAGGGAGGGGATAACACAAAAGATCATCTGACTTGGTGCATCTGAATTGATTCAAGTCAGCAGGGCTGGATGAACTTTTTTCCAGGGTCCTGAAAGAACTGGCACTGGAGATTTTGGAACCCTTGGCAATGATATTCATGAAATCATGGGAGACAGGCCAGGTAACAGAGGACTGGAAAATAGGGCCAATGGAGTGCCCCTTTTTTAAAAAAGGCAAAGAGGAGGGCCCAGGGAACTACAGACCAGTTAGCTTCACCTCAGTACCTGGGAAGTTACTGGAACATATCCTAAGGAAGACCTGCAAGCATCTGGAGGAGGAAGAGCTGATTGCAAGCAACCAGCATGGATTTATGAAAAACAAATTGTGTCAAACAAACCTGATCTTTGACAAAGTAATTACTTGGGTTTACCTTGGAGTCATCTTTGATTGAACCCTCTCAGACAGAACACATCATGAAGACAAAAGTAAAGGCGAGCTCTCATTACACTATTCTATACAAGCTCACCAACTCAAAATGGGGAGCTAGCCCCTCAAATATCCAAACCATTGCTCTGGCTCTCAGCTTCTCCTCTGCCGACTATGCATGCCTTGTATGGAAGAGATCCATACATGCTAGGTGCCTTGACCCCATCCTGAGTGTTAGTTGCTGATCCATCACAGGATGTATA